GATTACAGAGAGGGGGGCTGCGGGATGAGTGGAGAAGTCATTAATTCGAATGGCGTTGCCTCGAGGGGAGGGGGCACCACCTGCTCTCCAGCCGCCCGCCCCACCTCTTTTTGTTCCCGTCTGTTAATTGGTCGCCGCTTCCCGCGCCTCGGCCGCCGGTTTCCTTCCTTCCTCGATGCGCCGCCGTCGCGCTTTGCATCGCGGAGCGGCGCGAGGATGCCTGCGTCGTCCTCCTCGCCGTCGGCGGCGCGTCTCGTGTGTTTGTGTATCGGTAACACCTCCTCCTCCTTCCCGCTTCCACTGCGTCGTCGTGCCGAGAGAGGGTGCACGGCGGAGGGGCGCCGGCGAGGTGGGCAACCCCCTGCTGGAGAAGGAGCGGCCGCCCCGGCTGCTCCAGCGGCCCCCCCTGCGCCTCTTTCCTGGCATTCCAGGCCGGCTGGAGCGGCGCCACGGCACAGCAGGCGGGCCGCGCCCCGCCCCACCGCGCCCCGCCGCGAGGTGTGGCAATAGCCTCACCGCGGCCTCCTTTACCTTATCCAACCTTGCCGCGCCCGTCCCGGCCCGCCCCGCTCCGACCGGGATAGTTTCTCGTGTCGCCTCTACTGCCGGGCCTCCATCAGGGACCCGCGTCTTCTTCTCTCCCCCTACGCTACCCGTTGATCCCCTCTGTCTTCTGCCGCCCCGCGTCGTGTCCCCCCCGAGGGTATAGGCGCGGCTCGGCGGTGGTGGTGGTAGGCGCGGCTGGCGCGACCTGCTGGGCTCGGGTCGGACCTTTAGGGCCGCGCGCGTACTCCGATCGATAGCAGTGTAGGTCATGTTCATCGCTGGCCGCTGGTTGGCGCCTCCCGCGCCCGCCTCCCCCCTCCCCCGCACGCGGCGGCGCCCTGGACCGCGGCGCCCTTGCGGCCCAAGCGGCTAGACGCGTTGGACCAGGCGTCGCCTCTCTGCCCTCGCCCCGCATATAATTGCTTTTTGTTTTTGTTGTGTGTTCTTTTTAATTTGTCATCGTATATATCTAACTTTTTTTCGTCGCTCTTGTTTGTGTTGCAGATTTGAGGCGCATGCAAATGATGTGTGATGAAGATCACTAGATTTTCTGCTACAGAAGGTGAGTTTTGGTTGTGCGTCGGAGATAACAGGAGGGGGGCGGGGTGGAGACCTCATGCGGGCTCTACCCCGAAAGGAGGTTACAATTACAACCACAGTTTGGCGTTGTTTTGGGATTCCGTCATTTTGAAGGAAGAGATGGATTGGGGAGGGGTGGGGGTAGCGGGGGTAGCTTTTCTGGGCCGGGAGGAGCTGTCAGGAGGCGCGCCGTGCGGCCCGGGCCCGCCCCGCGAGCTCTCCGCCTGGGGATGCAGGCCCGCCGCACTGTCGCCCGCGGCGGGCTGCCTACCTGCCGGGCTGCCGCCGCGCAGCTGCCGGCGGTGCTGGCTCTGGCCTCGCACTCGCACCAGGGCTCTACTTGTCCTACAATGCGGGAGGAGAAAGGCCAACTGCTCTGAATTATTTGCTCCTGATAATTGGATTAGGAGACTTATTTTACTTCGCCGTCGTCGTGTTGTGGTGGATACAAGACGAAGACTCGCACCCAGAGAAAACTTTGTACTGGAATCGACCGAGTTATGCGTGGATCCAGCGTGGAATGGTTTACTACGAGACTGATTTCTGCCAACTGCCCAAATGTTAAGAGCAAAAAAGAGATGGGAATATTTGGGAAGTTGGAAGGCTCCAGTTTGTGGAAATTGCACTCCCAGGCGAGTTTGGGGACAGGCCCCGTCCGGCGCCGTGAGTGCACGGGCTTGCGTGCCTCCGATGACGTCAATCCTATAATGCTGGGTGCAGGTAACTTCGTTGCTTCAAGCACACATTTCTCTTAGATGCATTTTGGAGGAATGTTCGGAAAGAGTGCATACCATGTGACCGACTCCCCGGCGCACTTTCGTAGTTACACTGTACCGCATACACGCGCGCGAGCAGGTTGCCTACTCGCACGGGGCCATTAGGAGCCGTTGGCAGCGAGCGCATAGGCAAACCCGCCCGCTCGCGTGCATGCGGACCTGAACAACTATGAAAGTAGGTACGCGGCGTGAATCAGCCACCTGGTACAGTAATTCTTTCGAAGCCGTTCGCTTTGGGAACGGACTTTTAACTTTGAGAGGACGCTCCGTAAAATAAGCTGAACAGTTGAACCATGTTGCGAGCCTATTGTACCGGCCTGGCCTGGGCTAGGAGGGGCTCAGGCATCAGCCGGGTGGAAATGCTTTGTCACTGGAGCGACCGATGGCGGGCGGGCGGCGTGCTCGCGTGAGCTTGCCAGGTTGTAGAAACCCCTATCCGTAAAAAGGACCCGTCTCAAAATTTCAGCTTTGAGCGGGCCAGAAGGAGCATCATGAACCCCCCTATTTCGATGTGACGTTCCCGACATCCTCATCATCAGTCCTGTCTGATTGTACTATTCCTTGATGTTTCCCTGCACGTGGCCATCGCGCAGAACCGTCTATGAAATTCATAGACTGTCTTTACACCTTTGACCCCAGTCCGTCGATGCTCCATATCTCGTGAGGTTGTAAACGTTTGCCGCACAGTTGTTTGCCGCCTCTCCAGGTTAGAGAGCGAAACCGATATGTGGAAGAGAGAGAGGGGCGAGCGGACGAGAGAGAGATTACAGAGACCAACACGTTGCTTAGCGCCCGGCTCTGTGCCGGAGCTCCGCCCGCCTGATGGATGATCCGCTTTACTTGTTGCTGCCACCCACCCTGACCGGCCTGTCTGTCGCTCTCAGAGAGCCCCGCTGCTGCTGCGGCGCGGTCGCGTTGGTGCTCCGCCACGCCCCGCCACGCCCCGCCACGCCCCGCCACTCTACGCCACTCCGCGCCACGCCAGGCACGAAGGCGTCGCCTCAAAATAGTCGTCGCGGCGGCGAAGCTTATGTTCGTTGCGGAGACATGCACAGGTGGCGCGGCCGCGGCCGACTCAGCTTGACTCGACGGGGTGCTCGGCCTATGGTTTCGCTCTCTTTTTCTCGCTCGCTCCCTCGCCCTCGCGTTCACTCACTCGCTCTTGCAGGGTTCCCTCTATGGAGGCCAGAGGAGAAGGCCCCCCTCACCTCATTTCTACCTCAAACATCACATGTGCAGCCGGAGAGCTCCGGAGCCGCTTTTACTGTTCTTTGTTTGCTTTGCTTCCCCAAAGCGGAGCGACGCGACGTGGTGGGGAAGAGGGGCGGGAGGGGGGGGGGGGCGCACAGCCCCGCCTCGCCACGGCGAGCACGTCTCTCTCACCGTCGCACTGGGCTGCTGTGCTTTGTACTCTTCATATGCCATGCTGGGCTGGGCCAGGCAGGCACAGCCCCGTGAGGTTCCCTGCGCGGAGCGGCCCGGCGAGCGCGCGTGCGCTGCGGGTTGCATATCGCCACGGCGCTCCGCTCGGCCCGCAGCGGCCGGTTGTGCTCTGCTCCGCTCTGCTGGGGGAGGGAGAGCTGCGGAAAAGCAGTGTATATACCTCACCTCTGCAGCATCAACAAACCCCCCTCCCTCTCATCCTCAACCCTCCCGATGGGAATTGAGGGGAGGGGGTGGGGGTGTTTTCTCCGAAGACGGCCCGTACCACCACCCCTGCGGTCTGTGGCCTCTCGTGCGGTCTCCGCCTGCCCCCCCTCCTCCCCCGCCCCTCGCTGTAGTATTGGCAGATCCCTCGCCTTCTCATTATCTCCACATTTGTTTGTCGGCTTCTTTTATCAGCAATCGCTCCGAAACTGAGGGGAAAAAAAAGATGGCGGCGATAGTTTTCCACTCGTACTGGGATGGAGGGGGGAGGGAGGGGAGGGGGAGGGGTGCGGCGGACTAAGTAAAGGCGTGCGGAGGATTGGGGGGGACGGGGGGTGTCTAAAAATACGATGGAAACCCGAAGAAGCAGAATAAAAAAGAATTATCTGCTCTAACGGCCGCGGGTGCCCGTTATCTGACGCGCCATACTGGCACCGCGGGCCTCGCTGTCCTTGACGTCGCACGCGGCCCGAGGGGGGAAAAGAGAGAGGGAGAGAGAGGGGGGGGACTAAATTAGAATCAACTCGGAGCACTTTGTGCGCGCGGGGCGCTGGTGCGCTTGTGTGTGTGTGTGTGTCGTTGTATTACTTTTTTGTTGTGCGCCTGTGTGTGATTTCTCATCGTAACGAACTTAAATGGTGGCGCTTTGACGCCCCGCCCCGCTCCCCTTGACCCTCCCCGGGTCGGGTCGGGCGGTGCATGGGTAATGGGCAGCGTCAGGAGCTATGGTGCCCGAAGGTGAGGTGGGTGATGGTGCCCGCCTGCGTGCTTACGTAAAAGCTCGCCCCGCGCGCGCACTGCTACCGCCGGGGCACGGCCAGGCGACACGGCGGCCGTCCGTCCGGACGCGTTTGCATTCACGTGCCACCACCACACTCCAAAGCGGCCGTCGTGGCGTGGACTTTGTTGTTGTCGCACTAGTGTGAGTGTTCCATTAGGCTTCTCATGGCGCGCGTGCAAGCTGGACACAAATATTATTGTGCGTTGTTGCGGTTAATTTTTTTGTAAACATGGTTTGATTGCAAACTCTACGGTACACGGTTATCGTACCTACCAGTATAGCTATTGGGAATGCATACCGGGTGATTCAGAGATGACGAAGGTGGCGGACGGGTTTGCCTACTTAAGGGGCCATGACCGCCATGACGCCTTACGGGCGGAGCGAGTAGGCAAACTCACCCGCACCTGCGTCTTGTCTGAATCACCCGGTACATAAGAATCCGCGCTGATCGGCTACGAAAACAGCCCGTCGCGTCGTTCCAAAGAGTAGACCGTGCGGGCGGTTCCGGCGGCGCGGGGGCGAACACCCAGCAAAGCGTGTTCTGGCCCAAGAAATGTTCTTCGGGAATCGAGAACATTTCTTGGGCCAAGAACACGCTTTTCTGGGTAAAGAGGCCGCGAGTGGCCGTGGGCAGCGTGCAATTGAGATTGGAAGCTTACAAAAGCCAAGGGGGTGCGAACCACCCTTGGTCATGCTGCTCCAACTTGCCAAGGCCCGAAAAGAGGAAGGGAGTTGCGTCCAGCAGCGGCGGTGTCGCCGCGGCGGGCAAAGAGCGAGCGAGAGAGAGAGACATCACCATCGCGCTGCTTGCTCAGAGTCGCCTGTGTCCCGGTTGTGTCTTCCCGTCCCGACTCGTGAAGGGGGCCACGCCGCGCCACACCCCGGGCACGCACCATGCGGCCCGGGCCCGGGCCCGTGGGCTTGCCGGGCGCGCTACATACGTGGTCGCTCACGCCTGTCCCGCTGCTGCTTGCTCCGCCTGCTCCTCCGCGCTGGCCGGCCGGGCCTCACGGGCCGGGCCGCCGTCACAGTCGAGGGCAGGCCGGCCCGCGTGCAGCGCTGCGCGCCGGGTTGCCTAGCCGCCCCGGCCGGGGGCCGTGCAGCAGGCCGCACAGCCAGCCGGGCTGGCCGCCGCCGCGCACCCGGGCCGTACCGCGCTAGCCGGCGCGGGGCGCCCTGAACCTGCCGGGTAGGCAGCACGCTGGGCACGCCTGCGTGCGGGATGCCTACCCTCCGTCGCGACGGCTGGCCCGGGCCCGCTCCGCCTGCTGCCGTGCAGGAGTCTCTGTGTCTGGATCCCGATCCCAATGCCCTCCGTGTGCTATCCCGCATCCACACCGGAAACGCAAGTGTGTGAATGTCGCACACTTGTAGGTGTGTGAACGCTATTCGCACACATGGAAGCACAAGTGTGTGCATTCCAAAGAAACATTCCACCCATTTACTCCTTTAAGTGTTCGAACATACATTCACGCACCTAAAAGTGTGCAACATTCACACACCTAAAAGTGTGCAACATTCACACACCTAAAAGTGTGCAACATTCACACACCTAAAAGTGTGCAACATTTACACACCTAAAAGTGTGCAACATTTACTCAACTAAAAGTGTGCAACATTAACTCACCTTAAAGTGTGCGACATTCACACTCCTAAAAGTGTGCAACATTTACACACTTGCGTTTCCTGTGGTGTTTATAAATTGCCTTACCGGGCTACAGGCTCCCTTCTTATGGGCACGACTTAACTGCAGACTGCAGTTTATCATTCTCCTGGCCC